AGGATCTGTCCTAGTAACAGCTCCAAAATAGCTCAGCTTCTCAGAGCTCAGCATGTTCTTCATTGCTCTTCATTCAATCAGGTGGTGGAGTGCTGCTGGTTGAATCGCTTCTGAATGAAGATAAAAGTGGGCCTTTAGAAACCCAACTGTATTCGATGAATATGTTGGTCCAGACCGAAGGAAAAGAGAGAACAGCAGCAGAGTACAGCAAGCTCCTTGAGGCAGGTGGCTTTGGAACGATCCAAGTCAAGAGGACTGGAAAACTCTATGATGCTGTTCTGGGAAGGAAATAATAGTACACCTTTTATGTACCTAACAAGACAGAAGAAGTGGGGAAATGTGCTATTCTCTTAGAAGAGAATCATCAACGTTGCTTTTAGTTAAGGCAGCCAACTTTTTTGTAAGCTGATATGTTAACAGAAGAATCACTAATTACAAAATTTTAATGTGCATGTACTGTAAGTCTGGCAGCCTGACCAGGCTTGCCTTTGGATCTGGAAGGGAGAGAAAGAAATCAACACCTGTTCCACAAGGAAAACCCACAAAAGAAATGTGCAATGTGTCTGCTTCAGATTTTATTGTTTTCTCTTATTTCAACACTGTATCTGACAGAAGTAGAGCTGAATTTGTACTTGAATTCCTGCAAAATAAAACTGATTCCTATATTGAACTCTCTTACCTGAATTTTTATTCTGGAGGAATCGATATAATAAAACCAGACCAAAATTATGTCTCCTTGTGGTTAGTCTTCTCAGAGTCCTATGAGAAACCTTGTCTAAGTGTTGGGGAGCTTGGCATGAAAAAATGATATTAAATTTATTTCCTCTAGGTTTTTATTTAATTTATGAAAAATAATTTTGTACTTTAGTGACTGTTTAAAGCCCCAGGATTCCCTTTACAGGGCAGCCAGGAGGATGATGCAGCATTCTGTTATGCACTTGGGAAGTCCTTACTGCATGCCTCCTGCTATTTCTTTAAATCATTTGATCTAGCACAGACTGCCATTATCCACCCAGTTCTTGGAGGCAGAATAAGAGATTATTGAAGTGAGAAACGTTTGGAGAAGGCAACAGAAAGTCATTCTCTGCAGTTTTTTCCTGAACACTAATTGGACACAAACTGAAACACAGAAGGTTCCATGTGCACATAAGGAAACACTTTTTCACTGTGAGAGTGATTAAGTACTAGCATAGGCTACCCAGAGAGGTAGGAGAACCTCCCTCTTCAAGGATATTCAAAGGCTGTCTGGACATGGTCCTGGTCAATCAGCCCTAAGTGGACCTTCTTGAGCAGAGGGGACTGGACCAGATGACCTTCAGAGGTGTCTGAAGATCCTGTGATTCTGTGTGCCCAAATATGAAGACATGATGTTTCTGACAGCTAATTTTTAGGGATAAGTAATTCAGTGTTTTGCTAATCAGTTTCATGCAGTGTCTTGATTGGTGGTGGGAAAAATCAGTTTTTAACTGTCAATTGATGTTGGGAAAACCAAGCTTTCAATTTGGAAAGAGATCAAGATGATTCTCAGAGGGAGACCCCTCTCCAAGTATGGGTTGAAAATAAATCAGGGAGAGGTAAAGTTCAGGCCAAAGTTCTGATTACGGGTCCTGATTTGCCCTTGCCACTCTGGAGCCATTGGCTAAAGGAAGCTTGAGAAGGACTGTGCCCTCCTCTTGAGAGCTCAGTTCAGCTACTGCAGGTGGGTGCAGTGACCTAAGGTATACGGCAATCTCAAGTGTGGCCTGGTGGCAAAACAGAACCCACAAATCATGGGCAACAGCAACTTTAGGCGCTGTGACCCCACAGATGTCTCCTGTAGCAGCCAAGGTGCCAGAGTTACTAGCTGCAGTTGCAGAAAAGATGAGGAGGTCTATGATAATAGATTTTGCATGTTCATGGGTTGATCAAGTTCCAGCTGTGGACTGGGCAGCCCCAAGGGTACACGGGAAGAAGTCTTTGAAAGTGCAGGAAATCCTCAAACTCAAGTAATTCCTCCAGAAGTGTACTCTTGTCCCATGAGTCTAAATTCAAACTAGGTACCTTAGAAAGCAACTTTCTTCCTGAGATAACAATTGCAACCACTCAAATTAAAGGTCTGTGGATGTCTTCCATTGCAGTAAAACAATTTTGATGATGTGCAAGTCATAATGGCCCAATTAATCTGTATTGGTAGAAAATGGTCACCAAAACTTTAACTCTGCATCTGTCCATCCATCTACCTGCTAATGGAACCATTGTTTTTGGAGTATAAACTCTTCAATAACTGTAGAACAGAGGTTAATGCTTGCATCAGGTTTCGGGAAGCCCCATTCCACATGCTGCTGACTCCCTCATCTCCAGTTCAGTCAAAGGCATCTGAAGTACAAGTATAGGATAATACCAGAGGGCCCAGAATACCAGAGGGCCCAGGAGTGTAAACTGCAATCAGATGTGATCCACTTCAGATAACTTCAACAGATGGATAGAAACAATGTGAGGCTGAATTTGGATATGTGTAGACTTGTGTAACAGCATAGTTCAGCTGTCCATGGGTGATCCCATTGCAGAGATGCCTGTAGGGAGAATGTAAAGCAGCAATGAACCAACTATTCAGTGCTTGCATTTGTTCAGAACTGGGTGTGCAGAATTCAACCCACTGGTCCTTGTATTTGTACATCTGTGAGTATTTTTGATTATTGTTAAGAGGAAATGTGCCTCTATCTTTTTGTACTTCGTATGGTACTATGTTCTTGAGGCTAATTTGAAATTGCATGCAACATTCTATCTTTAATCACAGCGAAGGAAATCCATTTGACCTGGTATCCCCTCACACGCCTTATCCTCTCTGTACATCTCTTGCTGCCACACAATGAATTTGTAGATTAGCTCGAGCAAATGCCTTGCCACAGCTGTAGGTTAAAACTTTTCAGGACTAAGGCTGCCTGGAACTCTATTTTTATCTTTAGCTAAGCTAATGACATATGTCCTGTGGCAGCTGCAAAGTGAACTCGACCTGCTCTGGATAGGATGCTCAGCATTGCTGTCCTTGGAACTGGGCTGTTCGTAGTCCAACAGGAAGGGATAATGGTGTAGTAGCACCACAGTTACACTTGCCAGCAATCTCCACTTGCCAGCCAAGTTGCCTAATCATGGATGTTTCACCCTCGGATCAAGTCCTCCCTGCAGTCTTGTGGATGACCACTGTCATATAAAGGCTAGTAGTCCCGGGAATTGCCTGGTAAAAGAAAGTGCCAGCGATGTCCATGCTTCCTACTTTAATTGGTAAAAGTCAGAGTGAAAATGTTTTGAGCTTTCTTTTCCATAGAACTGTCTTTGGAATGGATCTGAGAAATTGAAAAAGCTGTAGTGTGTTCTTGAAACCTGTTCTCCAGGTCTTTCCTTCAGAGTAATGGTGTCTTGTAAAATGCAAGCTGAATGGATTCTGGGCTACATTGTCCAGGGTGAGGAGTCATGCATTTTTGTACAGTTTGGTGTTCGCTCTAAATTTTGCATATTCAGACCTAGTATTCTGGTAACACAGGAGACCCTGAGGTATTAAAAACCAGGAAACAGGTACTGTTTCCGAGTTATATATAGTAGAAAATTTTGAATGTTAAGGATATGTAGATGTCCATAATGTAGGGACATTTTTTTAAAGACAAATGGTTAAGGTAATCAGCCTAACAGACAAAGTCAAGAAACAGAAGCAGTAAGAAATCCCATCCAGGTACAAAAGCTAGCAAACAGGCATTGAGAAGCACAGTGCCAAATATCAGAACTCCCTGGCCTCTCTGTGGAGGACCACTAGAGGAAGCCCAAAAAGCCCTGAAGAGGTTTTAACCAGATATTTTTAACTGAGAAGTAGGGCAGAAATGAAATTATCAAAGGGCTTAAGAGAGAGAGAAAACATCATGTCAAGGTAAAGTGGGGTTGTGGGAATTACTGTGGAACTTGTGGTAAACTTCGAATACTTAGAGAAGGGGCCAAAGGCAGAAAAATGGAGGAATCAAGGTGGGTAGGGGAAGAACCATCTCAGTGAAATAGAGAAAAGGCGATATAAAATATATTGATCATATTTTGCAAGCTGCTGCTCAGCACACCTGTCTGGCCAAGCTGCATGCTCGATCACTAGAGATGTTCTTTATATTAAGCTCTATCCCTTGTTACCTTCTGTTTCTTTTTTGCAAAGCTTTCTCACATCAAAAGCCAGATCAATGGAATGAAGCTGCTTTTGAACAAGTCCCAGGCAAGACTCCGCTTTGGTTTGTGGACTCAAGTTCATCGTGCTGAGTTCAGGTTCTTGATGCTCTTCTGTACTGATTCCTATTTTGCTTGTCACAAGCTTTCAAATGCTTCTGAAGTACCAGCGTATTAACTGACTGATGAACTGACAACACAAGCTTTAATCCACCCTGCTTCTTTAGACTTATACTTGTTGATGGAAAAAAAAAATCTGATAGGAAAACACATCAAAGCCATATAATTCATCTAACACACTCTGTAACCAGTGTGTTTCTCAGAAGCAATAAGATTAAGTGGATCAGCTGGCATGCTTTGTGCCTGGTGAAAAGAAGCTTATTTGAATTAAGGGGGACAGGGAATCTGTGTTTCAGTCCAGAAAGAAGATGGGTTCCACAGAAGACCTTGTCTATCCTCAAATCATTATGCAATACAGCAGTGGATTTTTAATCTTAAAGGTAAGACATATAACTCAGTCTTGTATAGATGTCTAAGACTGAAATGCTCAAGGGCATTCTTCCGTGAGAGGAAAATAGTTCATAATAAAGCAACCTAATACTAAACTGACTTTGGACTTGAAATAAGCATGATAAAAGTCTAAGGGAAAAAACCAAAACAAACCAAAACAAAACGAAATAACAACTAAGGTAGATCTGCCCTCAGGATGGACCTAACATTTATTGAGACCCCTCTGACCTTTGGAGGCTTGGACAAGTAGATTTTGCCTCCTCATGAAGTTTTAAAAACATAGAGGTTTATATCTGAGGGTTTGTTTTCTGACTGATTCAAATGTGGAAGGTTCTTCAGTGGTGGGATTTCTTTCCACTTTTCATATCTGAAGTTTGAGAAACAGAGGGCTGACTTCCACTGTCTTTTTTTTCCCCTTGTTATACCATGCAAAGAACAAGATTTTTCAACTATTTCTTCCCTTTCCTAATTTACCATGCAGACAGCTAAGTTTGATAGCGTTTGTATATTATGTCCCTTCGGATGGAAGGGACTGTGAATACAGAATGTCTCATAATGACTCTCTCCCAGACAGCATATCATTAAGGCAGACAGGGAGAAGTTTCAATTTCCGTAATGTTTGCTGATGCTGTTTTCCTGTGTGTATGTGCATTTGCATAAAATTCCTGTATTCAGTTTCAGTGTTAATTTTCCTCATTACCAATCTACAGCAATTTCAAAATTCACATTCTTGTCATGTTTTTGACAAGTAATCTCAACCACGTTCTTACTGAAGCTAAAAGAGTCTTCCCTCTCAGTGATGTTACCAAACCATTTGCCAGTGGTACTAAATGAGGTAGCTGATGATACTAAATTGGGACGAAGCATTGATTCCCTTGAGGGTGGAGAGGACTTATAGAGATATCTTGATAGATTAGTGCATTGGGCAATCACCAACCATACGTAATTTAAGAAGGACAAATTCCAGATC